ATGTTTGAGCTGCAAGAATTGCTCAACACAAGGATGTCACAAATTCCTGAGACAAGGGTGTGTCTCTCCCTGAAGAAACTAGAAACTCTGGGACTGCAGTTCAGGAGGATGGCTGAAATCCAGAGCACGATAAAGGAACCAAAAAAAACAAGCAAACACACAAATAAGCAAAACCAGGTATTACTACTTATGCCAATGCAACTATTAAAAATTCCGAACCTATTACACCTATTAATGTTTTTCCTACAACTGGATAAACTCAAGGGACAACTGGATAAAATCTAGGGGTGATACACAACATAGCAGATCTATTGAACTCAATGGATCTGAATGCTGGAGAGAGAAAAATAAAAAACTAGATTAAGGGGTTGGGGAAGTCAGGCATGAAAAATTGCTCAATATCTCAGATATTTTTTCAGCTATGTGCAGAACTGAACACATGAAATCCCAGCTGTTTTCCCAGTTTCCTGGTGAAAACTTTATTTTCCCCACCACCACCAAACCTTCCTACACCTGCGCAGCATTAGGGAACTTTCATGTACGACCTGTTAAGATTTCCTCGCCAAGGATGGCAAATGTTGATTAACAATTAAAACTTCTAAAAGCAATTCTGATCCAGTTTGCAGGCTGGGAAAGATCTCTTCTTAGAAGGCTTCTTGGAGGAGGGAAGTTGTCAATAGGTGTGGAGAAAACAACAATGTTCATGGGGAAGGAATTCCAAGGGGTAGAGACACCAATTTTGGGGCAGGACAGACCCCCGATAAGGGGGCATCTGCAAGGAGGTTATCTTAGGTATCTGGGTCCCAAACTGTATAGGGCTTTGCACACCAAAACCAGCACCTCGAAATCAGCCTAAGTTCACTGCGAGTGCAAGAAATTATTTCTGTCTTGCCAGAGTGGTGCATGCTCTGGTTATCTCCAACTTGGACTACTGCAATGTGCTCTATGTGGGGCTACCTTTGAAGGTGACCTGGAAACTACAACTAATCAGAATGCGGCAGCTAGATGGGTGACTGGGAGCGGCCGCTGAGACCACAAAACACTGGTCCTGAAAGACCTACATTGGCTCCTAGTACATTTCCGAGCACAATTCAAAGTGTTGGTGCTGACCTTTAAAGCCCTAAATGGCCTTGGCCCAATATACCTGAAGGAGCGTCTCCACCCCCATTGTTCACTGAGGTCCAGCTCCAAGGGCCTTCTAGCGGTTCCCTCCCTGCAAGAAGTGAGGTTGCAGGGAACCAGGCAGAGGGCCTTCTCGGTGGTGGCACCCGCCCTGTGGAACGCCCTCCCATCAGATGTCAAGGAAATAAATATCTATCTGACTTGTGGAAGACATCTGAAGGCAGCCAAGTGTTTTGGACTACAAGGGGCTGATGGGAACTATAGTTCAAAAACCTGCCAGCCCCCAGTTTGGGAAAAGCTTGCACAGACCAGACTGTAACTCAGGACCCCAGCTTGACCCCACGTGTTCATACTATGCAAGTCCAATACTCTTATATTTTACAGCACATGGGGTCTGGAAAATATCTTTCAAAAATAAGGGTGCAGACCAGGCTTCCTGCACCCAGCACTCGCTCATGTTGCTCATGCGAATCTTGGGACATTTTGCACCGAAAGCAAATTAATAATTATAGTATTTTTAAATCACAGGCACACATCTCCTTTCAACTGGCGAGTCGTCACTCTCTCTTCTATTCAATAGGCTGTGAATGGGAAGCAAGGCAGAAGTCTCTGGAGTCAGGCACCCAAAACACTTCTTTCCGGGGAAGAGGCTAGTCCTCATGATCTCAACTCTCTCATTTTACAGTGGAGCAAGACGAAATTAATTTGTTCCGCGAGTTTTGTCGTCTTGCGATTTTTTTCGTCTTGCGAAGCACGGTGTCGGGAAAGTTTTGGAAAAGCTTCAAAAATCATCAAAGTCTTTAAAAACCTCAAAAAGGCTACCACACCGCGTTCTATGAGTTGCTCCTCGAAGTCAAGTCGCAACTGTATTAACGGTGTTAAGAAAAAGGAAACAAACTTGCAAGACGTTTCTGTCTTGCGAAGCAAGCCCATAGGGAAAATTGTCTTGCAAAGCAGCTCAAAAAACAAAAAACCCTTTCATCTAGCGAGTTTTTTGTCTTGCGAGGCATTCGTCTTGCGAGGTACCACTGTATTTATATGCCACTTAATTTTTTAGGCAAAGGCCCAAGCCGTTTACATGAAACGGTGTAAAATATTTGTTGAAAAATAGCAACGAACACAGACCGCAGTAGACACAGTAATAAAATGGCTAAAATATAAATGAAGTACGATTTTAAATCTACAGATTTTGGGGGAAAAGGGGCGAAATAAAATCACATGTTTTGGATAGGCTTGCCTAAACAACAACAACAAAGTTTTTGGCAGGTCCTGAAAGCAGTGGAAGGAAGGGGGCATGTTTGCTGACAGCTGCTGCCAATGCAAAGAAGGGTCTAACCACAATCCATCTGCTTCTCTCTGCTGGGGGCCTCTGCCAATTAACGCCAATTAACTGCCAATTAAAGCAGCACCCAAGGAGACCCCTGCCTCTTAGCCGGCACCCACAAATGGCCTTCAGTCTTGCAGCATTTCAGTGTTTTTAGGTGGCATGCAATGGTGCCCTCTCTCTCTTTAGGGTTTCTGCCTCTCTCTTTTAACAAGGAATCCTAGATTTGCAAAGTTGGAAGGGAACCCCCGGGGTCATCTAGTCCAACCCCCCTGCAATGCAGCAAACAAACACGCAGTTTTAAAAAAACCAAATAAAAAAACTTGCATCCGCAGGCACTATCCTCCAATTCTAGGATGGAGGAGGGAAGGTCTCTTGATCCGCAGGCCAGTCAAGGGGGGGGGGAGTGGCAGGAGAAAATACCCACCCCCGGGATCAGCTCCGCCCCATGGCCGGGTTCAGAAGCGCGTTTCTGCCGGGCTCGACTTGGCCATCCCTGCCCGCAGCTTGCAGGATGCTGGAGTCGTCCGCGGCTGTGTTTCCTAATGGGGAGAGATCCTCTATTCCCCTCACCAATCCTGGCCTTTTTCGCTGGGGGGTGGGGTGTGGATCTCTCGCCCTCCTCTGGCTGCTCTCCAGCCCCCCACGCCTGCCGCCTCCTCGGTCGAAAACTTTCCAACTGAGCGCCGGAAACGTCCCCGCGGCTGGATCATGGGAGAAAGGGAGGCGGAGAAAGGAAAAGTGAAAGTGCGGGGAGGAGGAAGCAGGCGGGCGCCTCCCCGGCGCGGCCCGCCGAAAGTGAGAGCAGGCGCTGCGGCGGCTTCTCCTGCCGCCCCCTCCCCGGGATCCCGAGCCGATCGCGCCGGATCCCAGCCTGCCCCGCCCGTCTAAAGGGGATGCGGGCGAGCCGGGCGCCGCCCTCCTCCGGAGACGTCTGGAGGGGCTGGAAGGTGCGCTTTGGGCAACGCGGAGGCGGGAGCAGAACGGGATCTGGAGAGCAAAGGATCCCCGTTCCTCGGGTCCCGAACGGAGCAAGATCTCCCGGGCTGTATCCCGAGAGATCTTTGATCCTCCTGATTTGGAGGGCTGGTATTCGACGGCTGGGCCAATTTCCCCTGTACAGAATCGCAGGCTTGGCCGCGAAGAGCATCATCAGCAGGACCAGTGGTCAGGGATGATGGGCATTGTAGTCCCTCAAACAGTTGTTTTTGGACTGCCATCACCCCTAGCTAGCAGGACCAGTGGCCAGGGATACTGGGAATTGTAGTCCCAAAAACAGCTGGAGACCCAAATTTGGGAAACACCGATCTAGTCCAGTCTCCTGGCATGCAAGCATCTTTCACCCAACATGGGTCTTGAACCCAAGACCCTAAGATCAAGAGTCTCACGCACTGCCTATTGAGCTATGCAGAGGATCTTGGAAAGAGCTCTCATAAATTAAAAGCATCTCAAGGGCAGAGCTCAATTTTTTAAAAAAATTCTCATACAGCTATTGAAGCGCATGGTCACTCAGTGTGCCAGAGGTATATGCAAATGTCTGGCTCATTTAGGACTAGGTAGAACCTTTAGTCACAGAAATGATGAACCACACCGGTGCAGAATACTTTTGTTTTTACTAATCTTTATTTGGAAAGGGAATCTTGCTATGATTTAATACTTCATTATCCCTTTGCGCTGTGAAGTTTTGCCCTTCCACGCCGTTACATTTTACAGTTTAAATAAAAAGTGAAAGAGTACTTATAACATTCATTTAAAAAGAAAAAAAACCACTTCAAATATATATTTATAGATTTGCCCAAGTAAGGCCACCTTTTTAGTGGATGAAACATTTTAAATTAAGCTTGGATTGACTGAAGTGTGTGCTCCTACTGAACAGCGCCGTACCTCTTAGGTTCTTTTTTCTTTTCCCAAACTCAACATCTTGGTTATGCACAATGCTACCGGTGCGATCACATCAACATGTCTGATGTGACAAGATGGGGGGGGGAGTTCAGAGATCTGCATGGGGTAATTAAAACAGCGGGAAATTTACGAGCCAGAAACAACACTTCTTCCCCTACTCCAAAATAAATTAGTTCAAAATCTCCATGGTGAAACAGGTGGTTTTTTTGGGGAAACCAGCTTTTTTTATTATAAAAATAAATAAAAGGGAGGTGGAGATGCAAGAAAGACTGACAGCGCCAGCTCTGTGTGATATTTTTGATGACAGACCGAGCTGGTATGCAGACACCCTTGTCAATTAAAGCAAATTGTGTGGTCCGTCATCAGTCTGGCTTTGTAGTGTTTGCCATGGAGATAGAAAACAAAGCAAAAAACCAATCTGGAATAAATACAGTTAATATTGCAGTTGTGTATTAGAAGCACAACTTAATCAAGGACCACCTTAAATGTCATTAATCAAGGATGCACCCAAGAGCTTTCTGTTCTCATTTTTGGATGCAATTCTACACCATCCTAGATGGAAGTACCATTGAATTCAATGGGGCTCACAACTGAGCAGACATGCATAGGATTTAACAAAATAAAATAAAACGATGATCAAGAGAAACCAAAGCAGGGGATTCTAAAACGTTTCTTTATTATTTTGTTATCTCATTTTCGCTGAGAGCAGCTTCAATTTCATCAAAAACCGGCACGGGTCCTGCATAGTCATTCGTCTGTATAGAGTCTAATTTCTTCTGGTAGTCCACTGGCAAACCGTTCTGCTTTGCACCCATGCAAATGACCTACGAAGAACCACATTAAATGAGGATTTAAAGCAGCAGTATTATTTATGTATGCCACCACTGCAGCCCATGTTTCATTAGCCCAAAAATGGAAAACGAGCGAGGTCCCAACTAAAGAAGAATGGCAACTTAAGCTGCTGAAATATGCGCAGCTTGTGGACCTAACATATAGAATAAGAGGACAAGAAGAACATACGTTTAAAGAAGAATGGAAAATGTTTATTGAATATACGGGGGGAAATTGTGTACACTTGAAAACATGGGCAGCATTAAGATAAATTCAACAGTGTCAATAAGTTTTGATGGATGTAATAACGGAATACTGAATGGTTTAGTTTATGTAAAATATGCAGGGATTTATGATATGCAAAATGAACCATGGAAAGCTAAGAAGGGAAGTCACTGATATTTTAAGGATGTTTAAAGGAGTATTCTAAATTGTAAAACAGAAAATTTAATAAAATTTGTATTAAAAAAAATAAAGCGGCAGTGTTTGATTCCACAAGCCATATCCACACAAATAACCTGGAAAAGGGATGATGAGAATACGTTAGCGCTGGTTCACACATACCCGCACGAAACTCCATTTCTGTGTACTGGACGATTGGCAGGTGAGTGTGTAATTTGATTCAAACGGGCAGCTGATGGGTGGGCATTCAACTCAGTTTCACTCGGAATAGATCCAGTGATCTATTCAACCGAATGAAAATCAGTTGTACAACACCCAATCAAAACATTTCCCTTGCGGTTTAAGATCAAGCCTATTCACACTTACAAACCACAACCTGACAAGACATGGGAGGATGTGCCTATCGCCACACCAGAGGACCCACAGGAAAGGATGGGGTGAGCTCACACCCGTTTTTCCCAGTTGCCTCCTCTCCCTGCAGCACTTCCCAAACTTTCCCTGAGGATCCAGTCGTGACCGACTCTGGGGTTGCGGCGCTCATCTCACTTTACTGGCCAAGGGCGTAAAGTGTACAGCTTCCGGGTTATGTGGCCAGGACTAAGCTGCTTCTGGCGAACCAGAGCAGTGCACGGAAACGCTGTTTACCTTCCCGCTGGAGTGGTACCTATTTATCCACTTGCACTTTGATGTGCTTTCAAACTGCTAGGTGAGCAGGAGCAGGGACCGAGCAACCGGAGCTCACCCCATTGCAGGGATTCGAACCGCCGACTTTCTGATTGGCAAGCCCTAGGCCATGGGTAGGCAAACTAAGGCCTGGGGGCCGGATCTGGCCCAATCGCCTTCTAAATCCAGCCCGCGGATGGTCCAGGAATCAGCGTGTTTTTACATGAGTAGAATGTGCCCTTTTATTTAAAATGCATCTCTGGGTTATTTGCGGGGCCTGCCTGGTGTTTTTACGTGAGTAGAATGTGTGCTTTTATTTAAAATGCATCTCTGGGTTATTTGTGGGGTATAGGAATCCGTTCATTCCCCCCCCCAAAAAAAAATATAGTCTGGCCCCCCACAAGCTCTGAGGGACAGTGGATTGGCCCCCTGCTGAAAATGTTTGCTGACTCCTGCCCTAGGCTCTGTGGTTTAGACCACAGCGCCACCCGCGTCCCGGGTCCTACGCAGGAAGCAGCAAAATAAAGCAGAAATGCTCATTCTACGACTTGGTTTCCTGAAACTGAAAACGTGCCCTGCCCTTAAGATTGGCAAGGCAACAGCTTGTGGGAGCCGACAAAGGTGAGAGATGGGCAGATTACTTATTTCTCTCTACATCTAATGAGAAGGGGGCTGAGGGCAGTAATCAGTACAGGGATACAAATCTGATTGTCTTAACCGGTTAAAAAATTGGATAATTAAAAAATAATAATAACCAGGAAGTACAGTATATCAGTTTTTATTTGGGTAACAGTCTTGGCATCCAACAGCAGCTGAAAACTACTGTGTTATGGGCTGCATGTGCCATTAAGCGTCTGCCAAGCTACTCTTGACATGTAGTAACACGGCCAATGTTGGGAGCCTTAACAGATCTCACAGGTTTGGCAGGTTCAGCTGGTTCTGCATTTGAAACAGACATATGGAGTGTGTTAGTATCACTGGTGGATCATCTCCAGAAGCGCTGGGGCAACACCTCCTCATCGCTATTCCCAGGAGTGGAAAAGTCCATGATAGAAGAGAGGGGAGGTTGCTACTCCAGGGCTGCCCTATAGAAGAAGATGAAGCAAGCTTGTTTTCTCCTGGTCTGGAGGGTAGGACTCGAACTGATGGCTTCAAGTTACAAGAAAGGAGATTCCAACCAAATGACTCAGGAAGAACTTTCTGGCAGAAAGGAACGAAGCAGTCTCCCTTGGAAGGCTGTGAATGGATTCTCCTTCTTTGGAGGTTTTTAAGCAGAGGTCGGATGACCGTGTGTCATATGGAGATTCCTGCATTGCAGGAAGTTGGGCTAGAGGACCTCTGAGGTCCCTTCCAACTCTATGATTCTATGATACCCTTCCTATCAGACTGGGCCCTGGCTCAAGACCGGATCCACCGTTTTTGTGCGCCATCGACAATAAATGTTTCAGCAGTTAGGAAGGAGGACCCAGCTGGGGGGGAAAAAAGCAATTGGGTGTTCCCAACCATTCTCCACATTCTTCCAATGTTCCCCCAACCCCACAAGGAAGAGACTTGTGCCTCCTATGGAGCCAGAACTGCTCTCTACTGCTTTTAAAGTACAGTGGTACCTCGGGTTACATACGCTTCAGGTTACATACGCTTCAGGTTACAGACTCTGCTAACCCAGAAATAGTGCTTCAAGTTAAGAACTTTGCTTCAGGAAGAGAACAGAAATCGCGCGGTGGCAGCAGCGGGAGGCCCCATTAGCTAAAGTGGTGCTTCAGGTTAAGAACAGTTTCAGGTTAAGTACAGACCTCCGGAACGAATTAAGTACTTAACCTGAGGTTCCACTGTAGTCATGATCAGCTAGCTGCTGAACAAGGGTATGAGTTTAAGTCGGGCGCTTCCAAGCCAAGCTGGATCTGGGCTCAAGCTGACATGGTTCTTAGACAACCCTCTTAAAGGAGATGTATGACCAGCATCACGCCATGATGCAGAAGGGTTAGGAGAGTCTGCCACCTAACCCCTGCAAAGGAGAGGGCTGCAGAAGTGTCTTCAACTACACTGGTGGCCAAAATTGTGGAAACCTTTGGGGGAAAGTGGGACGCGGGTGGTGCTGTGGGTTAAACCACAGAGCCTAGGACTTGCCGACCAGAAGGTGGGCGGTTCGAATCCCCGTGACGGAGTGAGCTCCCGTTGCTCGGTCCCTGCTGCTGCCAACCTAGCATTTTGAAAGCATGTCAAAGTGCAAGTAGATAAGTAGGTACCACTCCGGTGGGAAGGTAAATGGCGTTTCCGTGCGCTGCTCTGGTTCACGAGAAGCGGCTTAGTCATGCTGGCCACATGACCCCGAAGCTGTACGCCGGCTCCCTCGGCCAATAAAGCGAGATGAGCGCTGCAACTCCAGTCGTCCGCGACTGGACTTAATGGGGTCCCTTTACCTTTACCTTGGGGGAAAATGTATTACCTTGGGGGAAAGTGTATTTCCGAGGTTTGATGGCTCACAACACCTGATTTGGCTCTCTAAACACTCGTGCTCATTGGCTACATTCAAATGAAGGAAAGGTACTGCATATCAACCTAAGCAAGTTGTGCTTCCCTTTTCTGGTTATTTGGTTATAACTTTTGATAGAATACAGATAACTGAACAAACTTTGTTGCATTACATTCTTTATTAAATTATCTTTCCATTGATATATAATTTTATGGTTTTACTCCAAAACAAAAGTGGTGTTATGAGCCATCAAACCTCAGAAATACACTTTTCCCAAAAGGTGTCCACAATTTAGGCCACTTGTGTATATTTATGGCCATGGCTATAGTAAAGGGAGGAAGGTATCACTATGTCATCAGCCCGAATGATATGATACAGTGGTACCTCGGGTTACAGATGCTTCAGGTTACAGACTCCACTAACCCAGAAATAGTACCTGGGTTAAGTACTTTGCTTCAGGATGAGAACAGAAATTGTGCGGCGGTGGCGCAGCAGCAGCAGGAGGCTCCATTAGCTAAAGTGGTACTCAGGTTAAGAACAGTTTCAGGTTAAGAACGGACCTCCAGAACAAATTAAGTTCTTAACCTGAGGTACCACTGTACAAGCAATTTGCCTGACTTAGCAGGCCTATTCTGAGCCTGAGTTTGCTCCTCAGTGGAGAAAAGGAGGCAGCACTGATCTAGCTAAAGCACCATATCATGTGGCAATCCCCAAGTGCCACTATAAAAGCACAACTCACGTAACCCTCGTATCAAAGTAGCTAAGCTATTTCGCTTTTCATGTTCCATGAACAGCTTAGGCCCAAAGGGGACAATTACTAAGCATCATGTAGGTAGGCTTTTATGAATGAGTTCATTTTCACTCGCAGAAAACCTACACTTTGTTGTTGTTGTTTAGTCGTTTAGTCGTGTCCGACTCTTCGTGACCCCATGGACCAGAGCACGCCAGTCACCTCTGTCCTCCACTACCTCCCGCAGTTTGGTCAAACTCATGCTGGTAACCTCGAAAACACTATCCAACCATCTCGTCCTCTGTCGCCCCCTTCTCCTTGTGCCCTCCATCTTTCCCAGCATCAGTGTCTTCTCCAGGGAGTCTTCTCTTCTCATGAGGTGGCCAAAGTACTGGAGCCTCAGCTTCAGGATCTGTCCTTCCAGTGAGCACTCAGGGCTGATTTCCTTAAGAATGGATGCGTTTGATCTTCTTGCAGTCCATGGGACTCTCAAGAGTCTCCTCCAGCACCATAATTCAAAAGCATCAATTCTTCGGCGATCAGCCTTCTTTATGGTCCAGCTCTCACTTCCATACATCACTACTGGGAAAACCATAGCTTTAACTATACGGACCTTTGTTGGCAAGGTGACGTCTCTACTTCTCAAGATGCTGTCTAGGCCTGTCATTGCCCTTCTCCCAAGAAGCAGGCGTCTTTTAATTTCGTGGCTGCTGTCACCATCTGCAGTGATCAACCTACACTTACTACTATGATTAGTAACCCAGTTTCTCTCTCATCCGCTCATATTCTCCTTAGAATCACATAGGAAACTTACCTTTTTATACTGCGGGGAAGGAAGGCCTAAGACATAGTCTGTCATTTGGTAGCTACGACTCTTAAGTGTTTTCCCTTCTTGAGTCTGGACTGTAACTTCTATTGGGATGTAAATACCTTGTTCAACTCCCTCTTGTCTGAAACAGAATAAGGAATACCTTTCAGATCAAATCACTAACTTGAGAAAGAAAGTGTAGTAGTTTGCTTTCTAAGCTGACTATTAATTTAGCAAGACACCCAGACCATAGACAAGGTAAGTTCATGAAATTTAGGCCATATCCAGATAGCAGCTTTCTGAGCTCCTGTTCACAAAATTAAGTTAGAACGAAATAGAGGGGAGGTATAGAGTTGTGTGGCTTTTTACTGAACATCGTTAGGTAATTTCTCTTATGGACTGTGCTACATTACACCGTTGGTGCCATAATCTTCTGGCTGAATGGGGTAGGAATTGGCAACATGTCCATACAGCTTTTAAGGGCTTGGAAGCATAAAATGTTATGTACGCAACACTGGCCCTGTTAAAGAGGAAGAGACTCTAGTTAACAGTGTTTATTAATAGGGGCAGTTATTTCAAGAAGTGAGTCACAAGGCTGCAGTCGCTACCAACCCCACCCTTGCCAGAAGAAGGAATTGCCACCACGTACAGACTTTTCACTTCCTTCCCTGATGCTTCTGCCTAGAATATCTGAAGTCATTGGCCAACCCATCAACCACCATGTGATGTGTGTTGTATGAACCCAAAGCGTTTTCTCAGAATGTGCTGACAGTCATGGTTAGCGAGTGCAGTCTCACTGATTCATCTGCAATGTTAGGTAAAGGTAAAGGTACCCCTGCCCGTACGGGCCAGTCTTGCCAGACTCTAGGGTTGTGCGCTCATCTCACTCTATAGGCCGGGAGCCAGCGCTGTCCGCAGACACTTCCGGGTCACGTGGCCAGCGTGACAAGCTGCATCTGGTGAGCCAGCGCAGCCCACGGAACGCCGTTTACCTTCCCGCTGGTAAGCGGTCCCTATGTATCTACTTGCACCCGGGGGTGCTTTCGAACTGCTAGGTTGGCAGGCGCTGGGACCAAACGACGGGAGCGCACCCCGCCGCGGGGATTCGAACCGCCGACCATGCGATCGGCAAGTCCTAGGCACTGAGGTTTTACCCACAGAACTCTTAATACTTACTAGAATACGTAAGATCGTAAGGGAGTTCCCCTGCCCAGCGAGGAGATCCCTGTTCCGATTGCTGCCACTACGCAGATCAGCACGAGAGAACCCCATTATTCATCTATTTAATGTTACCACCCTCTCTTGCGCCCAAAGCAGGGCACATTAAAATTAAACCAACATCGTAAGATAAAGAGCACAACCAAGAAGAAAGAAAACTACGACGACTTAATAAACAGCAGAAAATACTATGCAGGAATACCTAATCTTGAGGGACGCGGGTGGCGCTGTGGGTTAAACCACAGAGCCTAGGACTTGCTGATCAGAAGGTCGGCGGTTCGAATCCCCGTGACGGGGTGAGCTCCTGTTGCTCGGTCCCTGCTCCTGCCCACCTAGCAGTTTGAAAGCACGTCAAAGTGCAAGTAGATAAATAGGTACAGCTCCGGTGGGAAGGTAAACAGCGTTTCCGTGCGCTGCTCTGGTTCGCCAGAAGCGGCTTAGACATGCTGGTCACATGACTCGGAAGCTGTACGCCGGCTCCCTCGGCCAATAAAGCGAGACGAGCGCCGCAACCCCAGAGTTGGTCACGACTGGACCTAATGGTCAGGGGTCCCTTTACCTTTACTTACCTAATCTTATGCGGGGGGGTCAGTTCCGGGGGAATATGCATAAAGTATGGGTATAGCCAAACCTTTGGAGCTGCCCTCTGGCTAAAGGGTAAGGGAGGAGAGAGCAAGTATCCCCAGCATTCCTAGAGCTTGGCGGCAAGGCAGAGAACTTAAAAGCTCTTTTTTGCGCTGTGTAACCCCAAGTGGACCAGGCAGGAAAAGAGCCTTCAAGCTCTTCGCCTTGCTTAGGCCTAGACTTGAACCATTTTAAGCAGCCCACATATGGTTGCAACTCTGCAAGTCCAAATGAATGTCATAAGAGGGATTATGGCAATACAGTAATAAAACCATCAAGGTTAGGCACTGGTGTTCAGCAAAAGCCCCAGAGGACAGGCCATCGTGCACAGCTCTAAACTCCTGAAACAGGTACAGTGGGAACCTCGGTTTTCGAACGTAATCTGTTCCAGAAGACCATTTGACTTCCGAAATGTTCAAAAACCAAGGCTCAAAGGGATGTCTGTAAATTCAGTTGAGAAAACTGAAAAACATGCAGCAGAAGGCATTCGACTTCCGGGTTTTTGGCGTTTGGGTTCCAAAACGTTTCTCAATGGAGACGTTTGAGAACCGAGTTTCCATTGTAGTTCCCCTTTAAAAAAAGATCTCCTGTTGCTTTCTGTTTCACCATTACAGCTGTCAATAGTGGTAAAGTAACTTTCTAGCACAATCCTATGCACGCTAACCTAGCAGTAAAGCCTGCTGAATACAGTAGGGCTTACCGCTGAGTAAGTATGCACAGGATCTGCATACTTATTACAACGGCGTAGTTCTTTATATTTTTCCTGCTGCTTTTATCAAAGATAAAAACCCCATCTGATTAAATCAGGTTCTGCAACAGGCGCCAAATACCCAATCAAAGCTGTTAATTCAGTAAGAAAAGTGAACTGATGGGCTTTGGTAATTAGCACATGCCGGAAAATCACTATTTAAAAAAAATATCTTGCTTGGTTTCTATTCTGTAAATGTTACAAGTGAGCACTTCATACTCGAGCCATATTTCCCTCCCTGCACTGAAACTTGTTCACTTGGAGTCCGGCAATTGCTTTGGCAAAGAATTGATGCCATACATACAACAAAACACCCAGAACATTTAAGAAAGTGTGTGGCTCATTATGTTATTAAATTGAGAGAAGATGACAGAACTTGGAAGACACCCACCTATCCAGAGAAGGTAAATCGGTAGGACTCATTCTCCATACGACTCCCCACACTTCATCGCCAGGACTATGGATTATAGTTGCTGTACTTCCATGCCAGTTAGAACTGGGCTTGCCATGATGAGAGCCAAAAGCAAGTTTGTAATCCTGCAGGTTAAAAGGAGAACAATTAACCTCCGTTTATATATCTATAGGTTTAAAAGACATGTGATTAATTCAAACAAAGCTGTGGAATGGATCGGTAAGACAGAAGAAAAGTGAATGGTGGGTCCAATTTAAAACCCCATTCATCATCAATAATAATAATAATAATAATAATAATAATAATAATAAACCATCCTGAGACCCCCGGGTATAGGGCGGTATATAAATTCAATTTTTTATTATTATTATTATTATTATTATTATTATTATTATTATTAATTGAATTTATATAAAATCAAGATATAAAACCACAAAATACCTAATAAAAATAAAAGCAACAACCCGCTCTTATAGAGTAATATATTAAGTCATAGAATTATGTTATAAATGTGAATATGATTTAGTGGAAAATTCAATAAAAATTACTTTAAAGAATAAAAATAAAAGCAACAACCCAATAAATTCCCCCCCCCATTTTTTTTTTTTAAAGGGTATAGGATGTACAGTGGTACCTCGAGTTACAAACGCCTCAAGTTACAAACACTTCAGGTTACAAACTCCGCTAACCTGGAAGAGTTACCTTAAGTTGAGAACTTTGCCCCAGGATGAGAACGGAAATTGTGTGCCAGCAGCGCAGCGGCAGCAAGAGGCCCCATTAGCGAAAGCACACCTCTAGGTAAGAACATTTTCCGCTTAAGAACGGACCTCCGGAACGAATTAAGTTCGTAACTAGAGGTATCACTGTAAATTGGATCAGCCAAAGTCCTGGTTAAAAAGGAACGTTTTTTGCCTGGCGCCTAAAGGTGTATAATGAAGGAGCCAGGCGAACTTCCCTGGGGAGGGCATTCCACAGACGCAACAGAAGCAGAGGTGTGGTGACAAAGACCACCCACAAAAACAGTGCCACACTCATGACGACATGCCCAACATTTATTTTTTTAATGGACTAATAAGCTTCCACCCCAGGAGTGACTGCAGATGGATAACAGGCTGTTTAGCAAATTTCCCACAATAAGTGGAAATCCAGATTGAATGTATAAAAAAGTATGGCTTGGCATTACGACAACAATGACATCACGCAGTTGCTGCAAAAGGCACCACCACCACATGGGTTTGAGCAGGACGGATTCTGCACCAAATCGGAAGCCTCCCGGGCTAACTACTTTCCCTGGAAAAACGATCACAGAAGGAAGTGATGATTGCACAGCAGTTTCTGCTGCATGTCCTAGTCACAGCAATGGCAGACAAAGGTATTTTTTGGCATATGTTTAACAACATAAAGAGACAGACAGACAGCACCAACCAGTAGCTGTGCCAGGGTGAGAAAAACGGCAGACGGGTTTCTTAACATTATCCTCTCCCGCAGCAGGTTACTACCGTAGGCAAAATACGATATGCTTTCATTCCCGAAGCTTTGGAAATCCAGCCCTTCACCCAATCCGGTCAGTGTACAGTGCTTAAAGGTTTCCATCTGCTAGAAAGGAGCCCTGTTAAAAGAAAATGGAGGTGAGATGTTTGTTCGTAAGCTGTGCAGGCAGTAAAAGCAGCATGGAGCAGTAGTTCCCAAGTACCACAAAATTTACCCGTGCCCAGACCCTGAATATAAAACAACAGAAATGTTCCCTTCCTTATTGCTCTGCTTTCCCTTTGTTTTGCCTAGTAACGTCACGTTGCTGTCAGGACTGGAGTGGATGGCAAAGATGTAAAGAGACATCATTACCAGCAATGCAAGAACGGTTTTTACAATTAATGAACTTAGCTGAGATGGCAAAATCAAAATGTTTAATAAGAAATAAAGTCACTGTTAACATTTACTAAAGATTGGAAACCACTCAAAGACTTTTTGTGTGAGAAAGAAAATGAAATACCGTAATGCATTTGGGTTCAAGGACTGAAGATAATTTGTTTATAGAAAGTAGTGTTCTCTTAGGAGTTATATCGGAGTGGATGAAGTGATTATTGTTTATATGTATATAGCGGACAGATGAAGAACTGGAAGTTCTTCAATCTCTGAACTTTTATCTCTCTCTCTATAAATATATATACACAGAGAGAGAGAGAGAGAGATCGGAGCATGAAAGGACAGGCTGCAGATTTTTATTTTTAATTCTTTAATTTCTATACTGCTTTATATTTTTAATAAAAAATCTCAAAGCGGTTTAAAGGTAAAGGTAAAGGGACCCCTGACCATTAGGTCCAATTGTGACAGACTCTGGGGTTGCGCGCTCATCTCGCTCTATAGGCCGAGGGAGCCGGCGTTTGTCCGCAGACAGCTTCCGGGTATTGTGGCCAGCATGACTAAGCCACTTCTGGCGAACCAGAGCAGCGCATGGAAACGCCGTTTTACCTTCCCGCCGGAATGGTACCTATTTATCTACTTGCACTTTGATGTGCTTTCGAACTGCTAGGTTGGCAGGAGCAGGGACCGAACAACGGGAGCTCACCCCGTCGTGGGGATTCGAACCACCGACCCTCTGATCAGCAAGTCCTAGGCTCTGTGGTTTAACCCACAGCGCCACTCGCGTCCCTCAAAGCGGTTTACAGCTTATTAAATCAATAAATCAGATCCACACCATACAGTAAAAGCACATTTAAAGCACATGGTTTCCTCAAAGAATCAAGGGAACTGTCATTTCCCTCTCCTAGAGCTGCAATTTCTAGCACCCAGGATTCTTTGGAGAATGTCATGCACTTTAAAAATGCTTAGTTGTGCTCCGAATGTATGATGTGGATCTTCTGAGGCTTCAGATTAAAACCTCCTAGGGAACCTGGGAGACACCAAAGCATATTTACTCGGCAGTATAGCCCCCTGTGTTCAAATAAAGGTTTTTCCAAGGAAAGCGTGCACAGCATTGCAGTCACAGAGAAAGGGAGTTTGCAAGAGTGCATGCCTCATCCATAAAGCATTCAATACTTTTTAACAGACTCAACACCTTCATAAGCAGCAAACAGATGATGTAGCAGCTATTGCAAAATGGCGGCTTTTCGGTTTAGATCAGGGGGCCAAATCCTTTCCAAGTTCTAAGAAAACTGAACTTTAAAGAGGGAAATGGAACCAAAAAAACTTAAGAAAGAGAAGAACCCGGCAAATTATGAGTAGCAGACACTTTTAAGCACGACTCTACTGCCCTCCTGATTGGCAAAGAGGGTGGGTGTTGGGTTCAAAATAACGTGCACCCAGGAAGAGGAAAAGCTTGAAAAATGAAAAGACCCAAAATTGCATAAATGCAGTGCAGCGTACAATGGAGATGTAAAAGATCTGGATTATCATAAAAGACGCAGGAGGAAATTATTAACAAAAGGGGAGGAGGGAAGTCCACGAGATTCTTTGGAATCTTGTTTTTATGTTGTACGTTCGATACGTGACTGTAAAATTTTAATCTGAAACACCAAATAAAATATATATATATAAAAAAGAAGCTATAATGTACTTTTCATAATAAAAGCACTTGATTTCTAAATGAATTAATGAATGCAGTGTAGCACTGAGAAACCTCCCGGTCATGGGAAAATCCTGAAGAGAAGCGTGTGTTAAGAGCTGTGGTTCCCAACGTGGGGCACACGTCCCATAGGGGGGCAATTTGAGAATGAGTTATTAACAGTGAGTGGCCTTTTAGGCTTCCTCCACGTGAATAGGAGTTCACTTTTTGAATAATAAGAATTATATGTCATGGGGGGGGAGGGAATCAGGATTTTAGAGATGCTTAGGTGGGGAATGGCCAAAAAGAGGTTGGAAACCACTGGTCTAGAGAGACATTGGGGACGGTGCTTGTGTGTGTGTACACACTTGACCCCATCCCTATTTTAATGATGATGATGATGATAATAATAATAATAATAATAATAATAAATAATAATAATAATAATAATAATAATAATAATAATAATATAATTTTCTTACCTATTTTATTACCTATTTACACTGTTCTAAAGAATTGTGGATATGGGAGGGACGCCCTCCCCCCAGACCCATCTGGTCCAACCCCCTGAAATTTATTTATTTATTGAATTTACCGTATATACCGTACTGCCCTATACCCGGAGGTCTCAGGGCGGTTCGCAGAAAAGATCACGATATATAAAATCAAAATAAGAACAATACCCCCCCCCAAAAAAAGAGCCACATTTTAAAAGGGTATATAGGATGTCCATCAGGTCTGGCAATGCCCGACGTGGGGCTCGAACCCGCGACCCCGAGGGCCTCAGGCTCCAGAGACTGAGCTGTCCCAGAGGCGACCTGCCGTGGATGCTTCGCTCAGCTTCCTGCGTCTCGGGGGGTCGGTCTAGATGACCCCGGGGGTATCTTTTCCAGCTCTGCAGTTCCACGGAAGGCCGACTGGGGCGCAAAGCGGCGAGTTCGTCCGGCCTTCCGGGGGCCCCGGGACCCGCGCCCTTGCCTCGGGGGGGCTCCCCTTCTTCCCACCGCCCCTGCCCGCCTTCGCCGCCCCCCCCCCCCCGCCTCAGTCTCGCCTTCCTCGCCTCAGCAGCAGCAGCAGAACGCCGGCAGGACACCCAGCGGCCGAGACGGGCCGCGCGACGCCGCCATTGGCTGAGCCGCCGCCGGCCCTTCCCATTGGCTGCCGAGCCGGCCTCCGTCGCCTTCCCGGATGCCCAGGTGGAAGCGCGTGGATGCGCGTTGACGCTCTTCTCCCGCGCCGGCACCGCGCAGGATAGGGAGGCGGAGGCGGGGAATGGAGTTTCTGACTGCGCAGGCGCGCCTCAGCTACCTGTAGTACTTCTGCTGCCTATTCTAGGTTTTTTTTAATTCTATTTTATTCAATTCTAGTTTATTCTATTCTGTTCTAGTCCTCTTATTTTCATAGAATCATAGAGTTGGAATAGACCACAAGGGCCATCGAGTCCAACCCCCTGCCAATTTTATTCTAATCAATTCTAGTTTATTCTATAGTAGTTTATTGTGTTCTAGTTTATTCTATTCTATTCTAGTTTATTCTGTTCTAGTTATCTTATTTATTCTAGTTTATTTTGTTCTATTCTAGTTTATTTCATTTTACCTTAGTATTTAATTCTATTTATTTTATTTTATTCTAGTTTATATTGTTCTAGTTTGTTCTACAGTGGTACCTCGGGTTACATATGCTTCAGGTTACATACGCTTCAGGTTACAGACTCCGCTAACCCAGAAATATTGCTTCAGGTTAAGAACTTTGCTTCAGGATGAGAACAGAAATCGGGCTCCGGCAGCGCGGCAGCAGTGGGAGGCCCCATTAGCGAAAGTGGTGCTTCAGGTTAAGAATAGTTTCAGGTTAACAATGGACCTCCAGAACGAATTAAGTACTAACCCGAGGTACCACTGTATTCTATGCATATTTCATTTAATTTTACTTTACAATTTTATTATGTTAGATTAGATTTGTATACCGCCCAGCACCCAAAGATCTCAGGGCGGTTGACAGCATAAAAATGCAAAAACCATGTTTTATCATACTCCAAAAAAAAAATCAGCCCTCGGTGCCTTAACACACAGAAAAACATCTTTTTCAAAAAAATCCCTAACCTGAGGCTGATAATTTCACCACAAATCTGATGTCATCCCATTCACTAAAAAATGGTGCCCACTACTTGCAAATTCTCCCCTGAAAGATTTGGCAGTGGAAACAGAAGGCTTTTTATCATAGGCCAAGAAATCAGCACTCAATGCCTTAACCTGCGGAAAAAAGATTTTTTTGAAAAAATCCCTAAGCCCCGGGGTCACAATTTCTGCAAAAATCTGACGTTATCCAATTCACTCAAAAATGGTGCCAAACGGTTGCAAATGCTCCCCTGAAAGGTTTGGCGGTCGAATCAGAAGCCTTTTTATCATCGGAAAAGAAATCTGCCCTCGACGCCTTACGCTGCAGAGAAATATTTTTTTGAAAAATCCCTAAGCCCCGGGGTCACAATTTCAGCAAAAATCTGACGTTATCCAATTCACTCAAAAATGGTGCCAAACGGTGCAAATGATCCCCTGAAAGTTTTGGCGTTGGAAACAGAAGGCTTTTTGTCATAGGAAAAGAAATCAGCTCTTGACACCTTAACCTGTGGGAAAAGGTCACAATTTCAGCAAAAATCTGACATTACCCAATTCACTCGAATATGGTGCCAAACAGTTGCAAATGCTCCCCTGAAAGGTTTGGCGTTGGAAACAGAAGGGTTTTTTAACCTGCAAAAAATCATTCCTCAACGCCTTAATCTGTGCGGTCACAATTTCACAAAATATCTGACATCCAATTCAGTCAAAAATGGTGGCAAACAGTTGCATTTTGGGACGTGTAGCATTCTTGCTGCTGGTAGTAGCATACATAGGCAGGATACATAAATAAATTTCTATATAATTTATGTAGTTCTCTCGCTATTATTCCCAAAAGATAAGCTTCTGGATTTTTTTCTTACGAAGATTATTTTAAACATCCTTTTCAATTCATTATAAATCATTTCCCAGAAATGATAAAGCTGATCATTCTTGCTCCTCAAAAAATATACCCCCACTCCACTGCGAGATCTGACTTTCTGCAATCAGGAAAAGGATGAGGAAATGCTGTCTACTCTCTCTGCAAACCAGTTGGGACAAAGGCCCAATGTACAGGTTCAGAAACACCTTGAGTTGTCCGGTTAGAGATAATTTGGAGCGCTTGCTATCCATTAACACGGGGAAATATGCACATTTTTTGGAAACCCCCAGAAAACACACTACTCCTTGTTAGGACTGATTCAGCCGAAGGCACAGTTTGGGCCATTTCATTCACAGAACAAAAAGTTCCCATTTATCTACCATGTACCTTATTGGCAGGAAGGGACATGGGTGGCGCTGTGGGTTAAACCACAGAGCTAGGACTTGCCGATCAGAAGGTCGGCGGTTCGAATCCCCGCGACGGGTTGAGCCCCCGTTGCTCGGTCCCAGCTCCTGCCAACCTAGCAGTTTGAAAGCACGTCAAAGTGCAAGTAGATAAATAGGTACCGCTCTGGCGGGAAGGTAAATGGCGTTTCCGTGCGCTGCTCTGGTTCGCCAGAAGCGGCTTAGTCATGCTGGCCACATGACCCAGAAGCTGTACACAGGCTCCCTCGGCCTATAGAGTGAGATGAACGCCGCAACCCCAGAGTTGGCCACGACTGGACCTAATGGTCAGGGGTCCCTTTACGCGACCTTATCGGCAAACACCGCAGCATATGTCTAGGAGCCATGTCTTTGAGCACATGGTAAAAATGTGCCTGGATGTTTCAACTGGCAGGTCTGACTGTTATCACAGCAAGGAACATAATGCATGGTCCAGAGTCTTCTGGGATGCATTTCCTGGCAAGTCATGTGACCCATGCTTCATTCTTGCTCCAAAAAAAAGAACTTTTTTTTTGGGGGGGGGAGAACACAGCACCCCAAATGGTCGCCATGACCTCACATGAAAAAAATGGGATGTCCCATTTTTTCCCAGGGCACTTGGCAGGTATGCACCTGTGGCCTCAAACATCTGCATGACCACCTGAAATTAGGCCCGGAAACAAATTGGGCCACTGGAAAATGGGGATGGAGCCACCCATGAATAGGAATGAGGAAGCTCTTCTGCAAGTGTAGATCCAGGTGAAAATGATGTTCTGGGTCACAGTGGATTCAGTGGAGTTAAGGCAGTTTAAGAAAACGGTGTCAATTACGTGATAAAGCATAGCATTATTATGTCACATTTTTAGAAAAGATAGTTAAATTGCTGCTCTGTTCAAACTTTTATTTTAAGGGGAAAGCAATGCGCCTGCCAAAACGTTTCCTACGTCTGCGATATTTTAAGAACTTGGTTGACGAGCGTAACTCAGTTTCAGAACGGTCATGAGAACCTTAAAGGTAAAGGTACCCCTGCCCGTACGGGCCAGTCTTGACAGACTCTAGGGTTGTGCGCCCATCTCACTCAAGAGGCCGGGGCCAGCGCTGTCCGGAGACACTTTCCGGGTCACGTGGCCAGCGTGACAAAGCTGCATCTGGGGAGCCAGCGCAGCACACGGAAACGCCATTTACCTTCCCGCCAGTAAGCGGTCCCTATTTATCTACTTGCACCCAGGGGTGCTTTCGAACTGCTAGGTTGGCAGGTGCTGGGACCGAACAACGGGAGTGCACCCCGCCGCGGGGATTCGAACCGCCGACCTTTTGATTGGCAAGCCCTAGGCGCTGAGGCTTTTACCCACAGCGCCACCCGCGTCCCTCATGAGAACCTTAGTTGGTATCAATTCCTTCTCCCCAAGGAAGCATCTCTGTTGGAACCCTGCCTTTCCTGGACTTAGGATGCATTAGAGTGCCTAAATGAATCAGGCAGAAATTCAGATCTAAGATAATGCTGAAATTGTGTACACATCGATTCTCTTTTTTAGCTTTTCTCTGAGATGCAGGATTGTCAATTCTATTATGATTGAGCCATCGCCGAGAGAGGGAGGGAGGGACGCTATGGTGTCCTGGCTATTTTTATCGTAACGGTAAACAAAAATTAAGACGCGGCCTGCCAAACAGAGTGAAGTTTAATCCAAACAGAAGTCAATACTAAAATTTCCATTAACTGCAGAGCAGCCAAAATTTGGCTCAAAGCAATTCAGGGCTTTAATGGTTTTGTACTGTATATACTGCTATCTGCTGTCAATGACCACACTCTCATTTACTGCCAGTGTTACTTGCAACTTAGAAACCTGCTCCTGAGCCTCTTAGGAGTGAGGATCTGCAGTTCAGAGCTGTGGGTCAGCCACAGTCATATCCTCCAAGTGTCCCAATTTTCCAAGGACAGTACCGGAATTATGAAGGCCATCCTGGCTTCTGATTTGATCTTGGAATGTTCCTGTTATGTCCTGAAGTTTTCACCCTGGGCCAGCAGGGGGATACTGTAGATAGTTTTCACTCAGGATCTCCCTGCTGGCCCAGGGTAAGAACTTCAGTACATAACAGTTGTGGTTGTTTAGTCGTTTAGTCGTGTCCGACTCTTCGTGACCCCATGGACCAGAGCACGCCAGGCACTCCTGTCTTCCACTGCCTCCCGCAGTTTGGTCAAACTCATGCTGGTAGCTTCGAGAACACTGTCCAGCCATCTCGTCCTCTGTCGTCCCCTTCTCCTTGTGCCCTCAAACTTTCCCAGCATCAGGGTCTTTTCCAGGGAGTCTTCTCTTCTCATGAGGTGGCCAAAATATTGGAGCCTCAGCTTCAGGATCTGTCCTTCAGGATCTGTTCTTTATGGTCCAACTTTCACTTCCATACATAACAGTAGCCCTCCTGAAAATTATGAAATTCGCCGGCCTCTAAAAGCCACCAAATACCCCCACCTTTCAACAGGGGTAAATGCAGGGCATTTTTTTCAGCCGTAATTCACCAGAACTCAGTTTCAGCACCTCTCAGGTGGGTGCCATTGCCATTAAAAGAAAACAAGGGAGGCATTTGTGGTGAGTTTCGGCACCTGTTTTCCTAGAAG